AAGATATTATCACGAAATGAACAAATCTGAGAAAGATCCACATGTAGTATCTATATATGTAATATCAAAGCAAATGAACTTGCGTTTTTTAACAAGAAGTCGAAAATATAACTTTTTACCAAAAATGACAAAAATATTCACCAAAATTAGAGAATTGAAGATATCATCATGAAATGAACAAATCTAAGAGAGGTCTACACCAGGTACATATACACCAAGTATCAAAGCATTCAGGCTTGTAGTTTTCAAGAAGAAGTCGAAAAAGTAAAACATTGACACGAACGACGACGGACGTCGACGGACAATCACTCATATGATAAGCTCCGCTCGACAAAGTCGACAGCGGAGCTAAAAAGGTGATAAAGCAATTGAGTCAAAATAATAACGGTGTAAGAGGGTGCGATGAATGTAACAGAATTTAAACCACTATTCTGACAAATAAAAATACAATTTCAGACTCCCATGGTAAACATTACAACCACTGAGTGAAAAAAGGCTCAGGTCGTAGTAGTGAAAATTTCTCAGGCACAGATTATCAGTAACTTTCACAAAATTTTGTGTTCACGAATGCCATAAAATCCTGTAAAAATTAAATGATTTACAGTGTCACACTAGGTTTTATTCATCACAGATAACTACAATACTACAGGCATACAGTGCATGTGAGGCTAGAAATAAAACTACAATTACAGTGATCATACATCAAGAGATTACAGAGTGTACGTTATAGGATAGAAATATGTAGTCAGTAATGTCTCAATCATTGATATACTCTAAAGTTATCTAAAACTACACATGCACATATACAGTTAGTGAATATTAGTCTCACCACGGAAGAATCGGTGAAGTCACTATCCTCGTTGGAGGGTGAGCTTTCCTGTTGAGATACAGTATGGAGTGATTATGTTATTAAAAATGGGCAGAGCAATTTCAAAATTCGTGTTTAATAAAACAATAAATTATTCATGAAAAAACAGAAACACCAATATATAGGCTTGTAAGATATGAACTATGTGAGCATGAGTAGAACAGATAAAAATTATATGGAAGAAAGTAATAAATCAAAACCTGAGCTGGAGCAAAATAGGACAAAAAAAATGAAAATGACATATAACGATGCATGACTGCATCTACATGTACCCTCAAAAGCCAAAACAAAATACACTGCAAACCATTAACATTGAAGAAACAAAACAAAAGTACTGATACAGGACATTACGTTTAAAATGAACATACGAAAAGACGATGCAGCACTTATAGACTGTGTAATAGTTCTTACCCAAGCTTCCTCTACAACCACGGTAGGTTGTGATTGGTCTTCAGACTGATCGAAGCAGATAATATAGATATGAAAGATGAGGTGAAGAAGTGAGAGTATTATAATAGAATATACAGTACTTTCTCTATTAGAAGCACATTTACAATAGAAGCAAGCGTACCACATTTATCCTGTAAAGACTGATTTACACAAGGCAATGTGGCGACACTATTATAGTTACGCAGACGACGTTGTCTGGCGCATCCAGCCAACGTGATTATACAGTGAAACCACTCACAAGACAACGCAAGCGTTGCTAGATGCATTGCTTCAAGGATTGCCTCGTGTAAACGGGTCTTTAGAAGTACATTTCCAATAAAAACACACATAAACCAACACTTGCACGTATTGTATTGTATGCACAATCTTTCAATTATAGCTTCTTTTTTTATCACAGACGTCATTTTTTTTTTCATTTCGGTTACCGGTAATTCATTACTAATTAGGCACATGTCATTTGCAAATGATGGTCCAGTGAACTTGGCACACATGCACTTTATACTGGGACAACATCTAGTCGGTGAAGTGTCATTTTATGTTGAGAGATACATAAACCTTTTCACCACCAGACTTTCGCCAAAACTTGTCAACACTCTTTTCTTATATTTTTTCAATATTTTTGGAAATGAACACTAATTTTGAAGCCAACAGACACAATTTGAGTCAATTTTCAGTTTTTACTCAAAAAGTTTGGCTTTTTTTCGGACAGAAAAGTGCAGACTATAAATCAGACTATTTTTGAATTTGTGATGAAAGGAGGGAATCGGTGGTGAAAAGGTTAAATTCAAATGAGTGATCTCATTTATAACAGCTAAAATGACGGAAATAGGTCTCATCTAGGTGCTTTTTTTGAGAGGTATGATGGTAACTAATCACTTGGTGTCCCCATGTTTCCCTGCTCACTACACAAAATAATATCAAATTACAACGTACCACCTACAATTTTGACATATACATACATGGAATACAAGAAAAAATAATTGTGCTGTGACTAGCAACTGACATAAGTTTTGCTTACCTGTTTAGGGGGTTTGTATGCCGCATATTTAAATAAGGAAGTAGGAATTTTTGAGCTTTTATGCACATATTTGTGGAAGCCTTGTAAAGTCAGTTTTCCATCCTGAAATCAAAGACATTGTTACTATGAATGAGTCGTCTGGGGGCCAAAGGCCCCTAAACATGCATAGTGGTATTAAATATGCTAATTTACAAACACAGATTTTTGACTGAGAAATATACTACATTGAAGCCATTCATGTCTTGAATGTCCCAATTTGTTTTCAAACAGCCTAAGCGTCACCAGTGTATCTTACTGCTGAGCAGCATACTTATACATGTTCCAGGGCTGTTAAACATCATTGTTATGTTAACCCTTTGAGCTCTGCAATTTTAGTTACTAAAATTTGATAATTTTTTTAATTTTTTTTATAATTTCAAATGAGGTACAAATTAATTAAACACTGATAAAAAAACATGAATAAAATAAGAAGTTTATTTCACAGGTTTATTTAGTCACAGGCAACAAATGTTTAATTAAAATCTATATACAATAACATTACCAGTACTAATTTGCATGTCTTAGTCATGTGAAAGTTTTTTATCCTTATATGGAAATAGCATGTCATGTGATTGGTTCTACCAGCCATATATGGGCATATCTGGATGTATTTCCTACCTGAGTGTATTCTGTTGATTGGAATATATCTCTAACAACCTCATTAACAATAGCCTCTGTGTTGAGTAACACTGTTCCATGACCATTGCAAATATTATCAACACTGTAAATTCTGAAAAAAAAAATAGAGGATAAATTGACAAATAAAATTAAACTAATTTACATAGCTCAGAGATATTTTAATCCAGATATATTTTCAATATTTCGTTTTATTTAAAGACTATGATGATTTCCTTGATCTGACAGCGCCCTCTAACAGTGAATTTAAATAATTTTTCAGATCCAAGGTAAACAAAATGGGCTGATATGTTAATTACATATCCAAACAAAGAGGAAGGCAAAATTCTTTCTAAAAATTGAGTCTGCTCTACGAACTTCTGATTAAATGTGGTATCAGTGATGGTATTCCTGTTGGGAGAAAGTAAACATTCATTTGGTAATTACGACATCATAGAAGTCCAAGCTCAAAACTATTGGTTGATTAGACATGATGACAGCGACATGCAGTCCATGGAATGAAACGCGTTTAGTGATTACTAGTACCTGACATGTCAGTACTGAAAGTGACTGACAGGTTACGTACAAATACAACTCAGAAATTAGCTATTTTGCCAATATGAACACAGGGTACATCATGGTGTTTTTTTTAAAGCAGGGACGTGTTTAATATAATTTTAAAAAAATCAATAAATGAGATCACGATGAGTCAGCTGTTTGTAAAATAGTAATTGAACTTTTAATTTCAAATGTCAAAAGTTGTGGCATGGTTATTGAATCAGAATGAATGCATATGTTATATTAATATCAAAAAATCAGTAAATGACATCAAAAGGTAATTTCAAGGACATAAGTCAATTCACAGATTGGTAGAATGAGGTTTTTGCTGATTACCATTATCAATTTATTCTTATCTCCACCTCCACAGATTAACTTGCTCTATTTTAAACCTGTTTAGTCATCATAAATGTATTGATCAGAACCTGATCTTTAAATCCATAATCAATATCATAATCCATTAGTCTGGTTTCAAATTAATGTATAAACACATGGAATGTATAAACATATGTGAATAATCAGATGAAATGAACCACAGTAGGATTCAACGACATCAAGGCGACATCAACAAAATTATTCTGGACCAAAATAAGAGCTAATCACACCATTTATATAAACATTCTAGAGTTAACACGACATGAATATTTTAGAACAACGCGCAACGCGTGTTCGAATTTCATGTAAATAAACAATGTATTTTACACACGTTGTATACGTCGCTATCGAACAGAATGCGGCACGACGACTGCCGCCCTTTAAGTTTATTTACTAGAACAAATATGGTACATGTAAACTTATGGATATCAATATATTAGCCCAATACCCAGGAACAGCGATAGAAAATCACTTGACTAATTCTTAATAATGTACATTTAGCGAGATGGGTCGATTGCTAATTTTAAACAATAACTTCTGCAGTGTTCGGATGGTGACAGCGATGTTAATAGGTTTGACTCATACTACTATTCTGTCATTGCTTGAATGGACTTGGGGGGATTGTATTGTTTTTATTTTACACATACATAAATATCCATTGTAAAATGAGTAGTCTTTTGAGACTTGACTCAAAAAAATTATCGACCTCACCTTTTACAAATACATATCAGAGAACTAATACTCTTCATAATAATGAGTGAAAAACATGTTAGAATCAAGGAAGAAACATATTTTTCAAAAAAAATATAAATATGAAAAAATGCTGCTGAAACATTGGTACAAACAGATACAGCAGGTATGTAATGGCAATCTTGAGCTTCAACCTGAGCTTGCTCAGAGTCAACCTGAGCTCCACACTGAGCTTCAACCTGAGCTTGCTCAGAGTCAACCTGAGCTCCACACTGAGCTTCAACCTGAGCTTCCTCAGAGTCAACCTGAGCTCCACCCAACTTGAACCCTGGAAATTGTTTACAACAGAAGCTCTAAATTCAAATCAGTTGTGTTGGAGTCACACATTAAAGCAGTTGTTTCACACACATGAAACATTTTTCCTTTTTTTATTCTAATCTTTATTTCTGCAGTTACAGTTTTATTTTATTCTGAAAAGGAAAAATTGACTAATTATTTAAATAATAATAATGTTAATTTAATATTATTTTTCTATCAGTCTACAACAATAAAGTAATAAATGGAAGTTGAGTTGGTTAATAATAAGATAAAGGTAATAGTAAACAAAAGTACCTGAAAGTAATTGTTTTTATTTTCAGTTTTATTATGTAATTCATCTTCAGTTTTATTAGCTCCGCTGTCCACTTTGTCGAGCGGAGCTTATCAATATGAGTGATTGTCTGTCGTTGTCCGTGTCAATGTTTTACAATTAATGCTTTGATACTTGGTGTACATTGTATATGTACCTTGGGTAGACCTCTCTCAGATTTGTTCATTTCAAAACTCAGATTCGAATTTCAGTTAGATCTGAAAATATGTGCGATGCACTAGAATGACATTACGAAAACATGCGATCTTCGGGTAAAGACGTGTCAATTAACTACCAGCAAAATTAGCCATGGCTCACACCTCCTCTCTTACATGCCCCCCAATTCACACATACAATAGGTGTTGCTAGTCTGTTCTATAGTAGTCTGAGGTATAACATAGGCAGAACAAAACACTTTCATAAACAATACACATAAACACTAGGTACAATTCCTTGAGTAAAACTGCAGAACAGAAAAGATTGTTCCATCGCCCGCTTGTTTTTTTTTTCTGCC